TTATATATGTTTTAAAATTTAAATAATTATAGGTCACGAAAATAATGCTTAGGTGCTGCAGATGCAGAGAAAATACAGGAAATGTATATTAATTACAATAATTCAAATGAAATTAAACTTAAATTACACAACTCTTTTGTTACTAGTGAATCATCGATTGCGCTAATTAATTTCAATTTAGAAAAGTTTTTTTTTAATGGTTAATTCACGATTCTTGAATATTCATGTGGTTTGAATAATGTAATCATAAAATCATAAAAATACTTTAAAAAGTATCAAGCAGACATTTATCTGTAGTTTTTGGTCACAAATCCTGAATCAAATGTAAAAGAAAAAAAATTGAGGCTCACTGTCGATGAAGGAGTGCAGCGCAGACAGCATGGACCCCTCTGGGCCTCCGTAGGCGGTGTACTGCAGCTCCTCGGGGGTCGGGGTGGGCTGGGACAGGCGGCTGGGCTGCAGGGTGGTCATGGGGGTGCTGGAGGTGTGGTTGGGGCTCACGTGCTTTTTGTGGCGCGCTCGGCAGTTCTGGAACCAGACCTGCGTTATTACCAGGACAGAAGACGGCTTACAAAACGTTTCAAAGCTCGTCATGATGGAGGCTTTGGTCCTGTCGGCTGAGACCAACTAAATTTGGTTTCCTGCTGATTCAACTGCAGGTTGGCTCTGAGTATTTTTTTTAATTTTAATTTTTATTTTTTTTCTCCATCATGTGTTTTGTCTCTGTTGCTCTGAACTCACCTGTATGACCCTCCGGCTGAGGCCGGTCTGCTCTGCCAGCTTCTGCAGGGTCTGAGCATCAGGGTTGTTGTCCTGAGCGAACTGAGCCTGCATCACCTGCATGGAAACAGGAAGACAAACAGCTAAACAACAACAAGACAGGCTGACTGCGTGTGGTCACTGTCTGCTAAAAACACAACTCAAGCTGACTGACGATGATGGATCACGAAGATAAAAACACACAGGACAAAGTAGAAATGTTATACAAAAATATATCGTTTAGGTCATTTTACTTTAAAAGTTCTGCATCATTATGAATCATAATAATCACTTCAAGAGGAAACCAATCAGTAAATACAATTTCACAATATACAAATACTAAAAAGAAATAATTACATCATTGTTTTATAATGATGGTGTTCAGGGTTACAGCAGAAGGAAATTTAGAAGAAGTTGGAAGAAAATTNGAAGAAAATTTTGCGATTTTGAATGAATTTTTTTGGAGATTTTCAAACATTGCATTATGTATTAAATGTATGAATAATTTAAACACACACACACAGAGAGAGAGAGAGCTGCAGGCCTCCTGCTGTCTTAAAGATGAGCAGCTTTGACACAAACAAAAAGAAACCCACTTGATTTCACTATTTGCCAGAAGTTATATTATTTGTAAAACATTTAAATAAATAAATAAAATTGAAGGTTTTAAAATTGAATTTTAAATCAGATTTTAAATCAGAACAAAAAAATGAGTAGATTTTATTTATTTATTTTTTGCTTTATTGGATGCTTCTAAAAAATACATTTCCTCCAATATGTTGACGAGTCGGGAGTGAAAACGTTGGATTAATTCTCAGCGTGCATGACGTCATCACCGCGTTAATGTTAAAGTCGGTGCTGTGTATTGTGTTAATATTGTGTTAGCTAATATTGTGATGCTGTTTGGACCTGACCTGCAGCTGGTCGGCAGTGAAACTGGTTCTGGCTCTCTTTGAGGGTTTAGGCTGGTTAATTTCTTGTTCAGTGGGCACGGCTCCCTCCATGTTCACACTGCTTCCTGCAGCAAAAATAAAAACAAACAAAACAAAACAAAAACAGAAATGACTTCATCCAGTTAGTTAGTTAGTTATTTTTTGCTGAAGGGGGTGGGTGGTTGTCACCTTTCTCCAAGGCCCTCTTCAGGTTGTCCAGCATGCAGTCGTAGTGGACCCTGCAGAGCACCTTCCCCTCCACCAGAGCGAACTCCTCCCCGGTGGAGAGCTGCCTCTTGCAGGAGAAGCAGGCGAAGCAGGCCAGGTGATAGACGCTGCCCTTGGCCCGGCGGACCCAGTCCGTGGAGTGCACGTTCCTGCCGCAGCACGCGCACCAGGTGCCGTACCTTCTGCAGGGAGGAGTCCAGTCTCATGTCACTCATTTAAAACACAATGACTCTGACCCTCAAAATAACAACGGAAATGATTATTTCTAACCCTTAAAACAGCTTTTAGCTGAGCGCATATTTTTTGGAATAACGTTGCCCATAATTTGACTTTTTACTCTCTCAACTAAAACAAGCGATTTTTTTGTACCTTTTCGTGATTTAAAAAAAAAAACTAAGGTTATTTTTTTCTGCTATCTTTTACAGTGGTTCCCAAACTTTTTATCTTCTGATCCACAAAATATCCATGGCAAAAACTTGTGACCCCAAATATTAC